GCTGAGCAGCAAAGTGAGCGCGAGCGAGAGAGCAAATTTGATAAGCTTTGTTACTGCTATAAGACAACATAAGTCAAAAGCGTTAAGCGAATACATTTCAATGTATTTACATATACACACACACACACATTTACATGTGTACATGTAATAGAGGCCAACGGGACAACAACAACAACAGTTGATAATCAAACAAGTTGAATGAACTGTACACACCGCGAACTTTTTTCCGACAGATTTTGCAGCGGTGAAAAGTTGCTGTCAAAAAAATGTATGTATATATTTGCTCATGAAAAATGACAACGAAGCAGGTTGAAGAGCAAAAAAGAAAAACAGAAAATCACAGCGACGCCACGTGCAAGAAAATGGCCAGGCATGTACCAAAAAAAAAAAAAAAACTTGTTAGTCTGTGCTGCTGCTTCTTCTTCTTCTGCCGCTGCGCTGGCATATGTGACGTGGGCATTGGTCAAACATGACAGCAGCAGCAGCAGCAGCAGCATCGCGCGAGCATCGTTATCTCGAGCCGAAAAAATTGAAAATGAAATGACACAAGCAGCGCTCTGCTGCTGCGCACAATCAACAACGGTATACAGGAGCAGAGCAGAGGAGGGGGGGTGCTGGGAACAGCCAATCGCAGCTATAACACATCACCCAAACAGAAAGCGACGCTAGATGATCATAAATTAATGGAGCTGCTGGCTGCGATAAGCGCAATGCACACACACACACGCACGCACACATAAATTAGCGGCAAAAAGTGGTCGGGCCGCATGGCAACGCCATGCACACACAGTTACAGGCACACACACATACACAAACGCACGCACGCACACGCGTATAATTAATCGCAGTTTGGGCTGCAAATTAAGAAAAGAGAAATTATTGAACGCCCGGCAAATGCGACGCAAGCAGCGACGGCGACGTCAGCGTTTTTTGCTTTGCTTTTCGCGTTTAATGCAACAGACTTGTTAATGGCGCGAATTACTTTTAACACAATCAGCAAATTCCAATTGGAATTATATTGCTTTTGAATATTTTAGCCAGAATTATGCTACAAGCGTTGGAAAATACTTTTTTGTTGTGTAGCTACTTGCAATAAACTGACAATCAGCACGCAACGTGTACACAATGGCGTCTGGCCATTCACACGCTGCGCAGACAAATAAACAGCTGTCCGTGTGACCAGCTGTGATTTAGAACGTAACAGTGTGGAGTTTGACGCAAGGCGACAGTTGACAGTTAAAATTCAAATGGGGAAAAGCGTATTGCAAACTTACCTTCAAAACCGTTGTCAGCTCGTTTACGTACAAATCTTTGCGTTTGCCCGTTTGCAGCTCGGTGTTTAGATTTTTCACATCCTGCAGAAATGTGTGATATGCCGGCGACTGTGCCAGCTGCTTGGTGGACTCCGTCCAATCGTTGTCTGTCAAATAAATTAATTATAAATAATGCCGAAAGACTGTTAAAAAAAACCTACCAATTGTCTGCAAAAGCAGCAAACTGGACAGCTGCTGTTTCTTGTAGTTCATGCGCCACACCTTGAAACAATCCTCCGCCCCGCTGCTCAGCAAACAGCTAATGCAGCCCTCGATTTCCGTGCGCTGTTTTTTCGACTCGATCTCGCGCAACAGCTTTAGGAAAATGTTCGCCTGCTTCACGGGGCTGGCAATGTACAGTTGCTGCGGGCAGACAATCGTTATCGTTATCGAAAGGGTTATCGAGGGGGCAAGCATCAAAGCTTAAATTAAACCAGTTACCCGAATATAAAGATAAACTGAACCATACAACTTTAAGGTTTGCTATTAAAAAAAAAACTGCTTCCTGATCGGAATTAAGCTAATCGTTATCGCTATTGTTATCGTTATCGTTAGGGTTATCAAGCAGGAATTATCAAATCTTAAATTAAACCGGTTACCCAAAAAATTAGCCGAATATTAAGTTAAACTGAACCGTAAACCTTTAAGGTTTGCTGTTAAAAAGGAAACTGTGATCGGAATTAAGCTTATCGTTATCGGTATTGTTATCGTTATCGCTACTCGCCGTAATGCTTATCGAAGGGGGGAATTACCAAAGCTTAAATTAAACCAGTTACCTTTAAAGGTTGGCTATCAAAAAGAAAACTTTGTGATCGGAATTAAGCTACTCGTTATCGTTATCGTAATTGTTATCGTTATCGTTATCGGTACTCACCAGCAGCTGGGTGGCGCTCCGCTTGAGACTCTGCTGCAGCTCCTTGGCAAAGTTGTTGTAGGTGGCATTCAACGCGTTGTAGCAGGCGAAGAACTCCTGCTGATTGATCTGCAGGGTTTCGGATTTGCGTGTGGCAGCCGCATTGAGGACACGCTCGATATGCTCGACGACGAATTTGGTAAAGCTCTTCATCTCCAGGTTGGGCAGCATCAGATTCTGCCAGACCTTGACGCCCTCCGTAAGCGATTGATGGCCGCCCTGGCCGATGGCCCACAGAATGCTGAGGCAGATGTTGCTGCGATTCTGATAGGAGTTGCGCAGCAGCGCCGTCTTGGCCATGTTGTGGGAGCAAATGCTGGGCCAATTCTGGCCAATTAGCTGGAGGACAAACTTGTAGCCGGCCACGGTCTGGCCGCTGTTCAGTTCTGTGGCCATGCTGTCCAGCAGCGAGTAGAAGAAATACTCCAGATTCGTTTCGCCCACGCTGCGCAGAAACTCCAAGATGGCCTCTTTCAGTCCGGAGCTGGCCAAATTGCTCGGATATTGAGCACTCCGGCCGGAGAAAGTCGGATCACAGTCGTAGGACAAGACGCCATTCAAATAGCTGGCGATCTGCAAGAGGGAAAAATGTTAAAGAAAAGGGAATTCTTTTAGGAATGTAGTCGAAAATAAAGAAACCATGTGAAGGAGATTCTATAATGAATAACGATAAAGAGAAAGGAGAGTATGCGAGTTTCACAAGATTCACGCCGCGGAATATAAGTGAAAATAAGAATGCAGTCGTAGATAATGGAACCATATAAAGGGAAGGCAATTATTAGATGGAGACTAAATAGATCGTGCTGATCTTAAAGAAACTCTTGAGATAGGAGAGAAGCTGAATCGAGCTAGTTTATATCATAGCTGGAATCGAACCGATTCGCAAACGGATTTACAATATTTTACTAATCGAATGATAAATATAATTCAAATAAACTGGCTATTGAATTTAAAAAAAAATTTAACAAAAGAAAGGAATAATTTCGATAATTACTAAAGATAAAAAGTTGCTTATTATAAAAATACCTATCTAATGAAGAGAATATAGGAGATTCTCAAGATTCACGCAGCGGAATATAAGTGAAAACAAAAATAAATATCTTCGGATTGAAGCTTAAATACGTCGCAGATGTACTATATAGACTATATATTTAAACTTTATAGGACGATCGTTTATAGGAAGAGTTAATTTCAATTAGTCTGATTTTGCACAAAATGTTTCCATATTGATAAAAAAAAAACAAAAACAACAAACATTTCAGCATTACATACGAGCGAGTATTTCCCTGATCTAAGCCACACACAGATAACATTCTTGACGTTTTCGACCGTGCAAAGCCGGACTATTTTTGCTGCTCTATATTATTTTAGTTGTATCAACGTTTTGCTTACATTGCTCAGCCAGCGCAGCTCGGAGCCGGGGCAGCTGATTTTCACCTGTGCCACCTGTGCGGCGAAATCGTCGATCGTTATTTGCTTCATGGCCTGTTCGAGGGATTTCGCTTTCGCCGCGGGTTTTGGCTGCTTTTTCGCCGGTTCCGCTGCAGTTGATTTCGCCGCATTTGCATTTGTTTTGCGTGGCGATTGCGATTTACCTTTGGAAGAGGCAGATGCAACGCTCGACGTGGATTTTGCCGGTGAATTCGATTTATTGTTGTTGTTGTTGTTGTTGTTGGAATTGGAGTTGTTGTTGCTGCTGCTGCTGCTGCCGAATAAGTTGCGATATTGCTGCGTTGGCACTGGAAAAGTACAGTATTTATCTGGTTAATTGTGTTGCACTTGTTAAGCTAATCTAATCGCGCTTACTGAGCTCTTCCAGCTTGGGCAGCTGGGCGGCAATTCGCTTCTGTTCCGTATGGGCGGTGACTTTCTTCTCCAGATTCTTTTGTTTGCGCGATTTGGACACGACTTCCCATTGATTGGACGCAGCGGACATTTTCGTAATGTATTTTAATTCAATTAATGCGTTAATTAACGAGTGCAACGAAGCTATGTCCGACCGGCTGTGTGGGAAAACAAATAAATACTCGAAATATCAAGCTGCATACTAATTTCAGTACACGCTTGCCAACACTGCCATTGCGCTCTTTATAGCGCTCTCACTAGGTGAGCGTGAACGTGAGTTAACAGCAGCCGCTCACAATGTTGTCTCTCACCATGTTATCATAACAGACTAAGAGCGGCCATAATTGCCCCTCATTTTTATTTCAATGTTCAGTATTTTTAGTGTCAACCACTTTGGTCACAGTAATGACATTATCCGCCATTTGAATTTTTGTTAACGGACTGTTGCTTTTTCACAACTGCATTTGCCAATTTAAAACATTAGTAAAATTACAACAGATTATTGCATTCAACTCAAATAACCTTACATTTCGCAAATTTCTATTATATTTGAATTATACAGTAGCCAGCGAAAGTTTCTCACTTGCAAACTGTTAGTCTCTTCGCATCTGTTAAGTTAACAGTCTAAGAGCACGCTGTTTATTAACAGCACAATTTTCGCCGCACATCAGTATTAAAGCGTTACATTTTTAAAAATACTGGTTACAATTGCTAACCTATAAATTAGAATTTAAAACCAATCAGCGTGCATATTGTAATCATTTTAATATTAACTGCTGCGCAATATTGTTTGCTTTATCAAACAAGTCTTTGCATGCGCAATGTGCATTTGAATTGTGTTCAACCCTTGTCGATTTGGTATTTGCTGTTTGTATGATTGGTATATTTGGGCTCGGTCAATTCGGCCACACTGACACAACTTAACAGCTGTTATTTTGCGTTGAATTTTTGAACCGAGCAGACGTACGTCGCGGACGCCTTGTGTAAAAACGCGGTCTACGTACAGTGCAACCATTTTGCTTATATATATATATCTATCGATGTATATGTGTGTATGTGTATATGCCAAAGTGGTGTAGCAAAATAAAAATTGCAAAAACAACAACAACAAGAAGAAGAAGAAATATATTTTGCACAAGCTTGTGAAAACTTCTAGTGTTTGTGCTTTTCAGCGGCAGCAACAACGACAACAACATCGACGCCGTCGCGCTCAATTTTTTACGGCGCGCCGCCTGCTGTTTCGAAGTGCGTGTGTGTGAGTGCGAGTGCGGTTTACATGAGCGTGCGAGTGTGAGTGCGCTGTCTGTGTGTGTTGTGTCTGCCTAACAATTTGCCGCTAAACACAAAAGCAGCTGAAGGCAGCGAGAAGAAGCAGACAGAAGACCAGCTGACGACGACTACGACGACGACGACGTCGACAATATACACACATAGCAAAAAGTCAACGATCGATTGCGCGTATATGTGCATGTGTTTGTGTGTGTGCGTGTGTGAGCAGCAGACCAGGTGAAAAACAGAAAGCGAAGAAGAAGCAGAACAGCAACAAACCAAACGAAAACGAAAAAAAAAATAAAAATAAAAAGTGAAGCACGTGTGTCCTGCTCTAATAACAGTTACATTCGCATCGCGCGACAACCAACAACAGCAACAAACACACAGACATCAAATAAAAAATGTCTTCGGTACCGCTGGCCATTAAAACGGAGGAAGTCATTTTGGAAAACGCCGAATACAACAGCGCTGAGGAATTGGATGAAGAGTTACAGTAAGTGTAGACAAGAAACAACAGCAGAAGAAGAAGCAGAAGAAGTAAAAACAAAAAAGTAAAGGCAAATAATATTCTACTTGCTACACGCGCGTATCACGTATCGCATTACCGTTATGAATTGTGTTGTTTACTTGAATCATGGAATAAACATGAAATAAACAAACTGCGCGCTTGCACTTTATTTTTCCTCTTCATCACGCAAATTATTGATTATTTCTCAGCTCGCTCCTTCCTTCTCTCCTGCTCTCCCTTTCTCGCTCGCACGCGGCAGACGTATAATTTTGCCGCCTGTTTTGCCGCACAAAACAAACGCGGCATAAAAACACCACCACCAATGCACGCTAGCAGCGACGCACACAAACACACATACACTGACACACATGTATGGAAAACGTATGGCGCTCGGTTTGAACAGACATTCCATTCCATTTCCACACCATTCCCGCTTATTCTGCCCGTTTCGTTTTATGCCAGCGTCTCGCTGGAAAAAGGTGACGCTACTTTTTTTTTTCCTTTTCATTTTCTTCTTTTTTTGTTTGCTCTGCTGCCTGCTGCTTTTCGTCATGTTGTTTTTACGTTTTACACTCGCCATATTTGAAAAACGGCTGTTTTCTCGCATTTATTCCAGCACGCTACACTGCCGGCCAGAATAGTGTGCACACTTAATTATAAGCTAAATACATACATATGTCAAATTATACACGCGGCTTGCGATCTGCCGTTGCTCTCTCGCTCGCTCTCTCAGCTGCTTCTGCGAAACAGCTGCGCTGCCAGCGCTGGCTGCTGCTGCTGCTGCTTCTGCTTATCATGACACGCTGTCTAATCAACGGCGCGTTTATATTAGTTGCGGCCAAATCAGCTGTACCGGTATATTTTTATAATCATCATATGGGCTGCGGCGGCGGCGGCGGCTACCTGAGCGAGCGACACACACACACACACACAATAGCTACAAATGAGCAGCAAATGATGAAAGAAAGAGAATGTAAACATGCATGTGTGTGTGTGTGTGAGCTGGAGAGCGTCGAAATGTACAGTTTTTTCTATTTGTTGTTATTTGCTGTTATTAGTGAATTTTGCTTTGCTGCTTGCGGCGAAAGTTGTGCCGGCCCTTTTTTGTATTTTATCAAAATCATATGGTTTTGGTCGACAAAGGTCTGTTATCAGCAGCCGCTTTTCTGCTTTTAACAGCGGCACAGCATATGTTCGCACTCACACGTTGCGACTCTGACGTAAAAGAATCCAATCGCCTACTCTCTCCCTCTCACCCACTGGCAGCTGTGAGCTTCAAGGTTTGGCGTGCGTGTGTGTGCGTGTGTGCGCCGGACTTATCAATAAGGCAGGCATTTGCCCATATGTTTGTATTGTATAACTGCATGCGGCTGGGCCCCAACTCACTTTATCAACACTGTAAACCGAGCAATGCTGCAAAACAGCTGACAGGTTATTTCCTTTATTTTCATTTATTGTTAACCAACGCACTGCGGTGAGTGGACATGTAATTCGGGACAGCAGTAAATATTTAGGATTTTATGCCAAAAACTCAAACTGAAGTCATTTCGAAATGTCCATTGCAACAACAGCTGCCCGGCAAGTGCCTTGGCTAAAAGTCTCCAAAGCGTTGCACATGCTCTCGCATGTTGCGTCAGTGTATGTGTGTGGCGTCATTTCCGTTTTCCCCACACACTGGAAGTCGCCGCAACTGCGGCGTCAGCTGCCAGCGCCACGCTTGTAAATTCGCTCATAGGGGAGCATATGTGTGTGTGTGTGTTGTGGTTCTGCATGCAGTCTTGCCTGGCGTACATAAGCCAGTGCTGTGAGTGAGCGAGTCGGTGAGTGAGTCTGTTGGCATTGCACTCAAAAGCTTGTTGCTCCTTCGACAATGTGTCGCAGCGCGTAAAAGAGGGAGAGAGTGAGTGAGAGTGGGCGTGTGTATGTGTGTGTATGCATTTAATAAAGGGGAATTTTCGCAAAAGTACAGATGCCGCCACAGAGCACAGCGCTTTTTACTACTACTACACGACATTTCATTGAATAAACGTATACACAAAAAGCCGCTGTCGCTGCCGCTGCCAACGCCAACACGACTGCAAAGCGTCGCGAATTTGCGAAAAAAGAAAAAAAAAAATGCCAATAAGAAAACAATATATACAGACACATACACACATACAAGCGCAAAGATAAAAGCTGCTGCGCAAATTTTTGGGCGATGGCTGTTTCATTTGTCAGGCGTTTCGCCTTGCTGTTTCAATTGCCATTGCGTTTTTGCATGCGGCATTTTTATAATGGGCAACCTGCGCGTCTGCCTGAGAGTGAGAGTGGGTGCATGAGCGAGCAACACAGAGAGTGGGAGAGAGGGCGACGGCGAGAGAGAAGGAAAGAGTGAAAGAAGCGGCATCAATTCGTTTGCTTGAATTGTTGATGAAAAACACATGATTGTTTTTTGGGTGTGTGTGTGTGTGTGTGTGTTTACCGCACATAGTTTGACTTGCAAATTTTATTAAAGATTAACGCCAGCGTCAGCTGTGGCTGTACGTACGTTTGTACATATGTATGACTGTGTGTTTCTGAGTGTGTGCACTCTTCTATGCGGCGACACTTTGCTCCACTGTTAATTCGCTCAACAGCTGTTGTTTTTGTCACATACGCAATATGCAAAGACACCATTTCGCCCCCTCTCCCTCTGGCACCTTGCACCTGGCACATATTCATCTCGGATTACCTCATGTGAGAGCGTGTGTGTGTGTATATATATATGTGTGCTTATGTAACCGTTATATGTCGCCCGCTCTCTTATCGAATTGCAACGGCACTTTTGCAGTGTCTGCGTTCTCTGTTTATATTTTTTTGATTGCAATTGTGGCGCCAAAAGGCCGACTAAGTGGGTGTGTGTGTGTGTGTGTGTGTGTGTGGAAGAGGGTGGGGTGAAGGTGGGCTGTTATTCTAAACTTTTTCATTTGTTTATGCTACTTAGTTGCCTGCTGCACATTACGCAAGTGGCAAAGTTTATTGCGTTTTACTGCGCATTTCGCCAATTGCAGCTGCTGCTGCTGCTTCTTCCCCCAACTTTTTAGCATTTACTACAGATGTACATATGTATGTATGCATGTGTGTATGCGTGTGTGTGTGTTTTGGTACGTGACTGGGCATAAAACAATGATTGCCTTTTAGTGCAACAGATGCTTGTCATTTCCTCTTTCTCTGTCCTCAATCATAAAAGTGTGACCATATAAAATGAGGCTTCGAAATTGGGTGCATGCGCGGATTTAAGCACTGAACGGGTGGATTTGATTTGGCCACGGAGAATCAGCGGTAAAATCTGGATATATGGGCTGCTATTAAAGTTGTGATGCATTTTGATGTATGTATCAAATGATATATGTTTGTTTAGAGATTTATTGTGCCTCGGATTTGGTTCCAGGGTAAATATGCCACATTTTCACGTCCCTCCAAATATATACAAGAGCTAATATTTAGTTCTTAATTCCGAGATACACAAGATATATTTTTAAAGAATAATCAGGCTTAATTTAAAGTTTATTGTTGAATTTTGGGACAACGATTTGTTAGCTTTAAGGTTTTGAAATTTACATTCCCTACGATTCTATTTTCAACATTTCCCATTATTTATGTTAATTGTTCACAAGTATGAGGCCAATTTACTTTAGACACATCCATTTGTTTATTCATCTGGTTAATATTTTATACAAGTTTATCTTTATGAATTAAAAATGCGCTTTGTGCGTTGTCTTTTCACCTGCAATTGGCAATTGGCATTGCAGCCGACAAATTCCAGGCAAAACTGATGACGTAAGCGTTGACCCAATAAACGTACACAAACGTACATAGTTACAAATACACACATACAAACGTACATGCACATATACATGCATACGATTTATGTGCAGTGCTGCAGCAGCAACAACAACAACAACTCGGCGGCACTCGTGACTTCGGCTTTGTCTGTTCCGTTTAGCTGTGCATGTACGTGTGTGTGCGAGTGTGTGTGTGTGTTGGTTGGCGAAAAGTGGCCAATGAACTACATTGAACTTTGGGACAGCAGCAGAGTCGGCCCCGGGCAGCAGCAGCAGCAGCCGCAGCTGTTGTATATCATATGTTCTTTTAGTTGTTGCTATTATTGCAAATGCGGCTTCTGCAGCTGGTGAAATGCAGAAAATGCGTAAATTGCAATTGCTATTTCAAATGTCAAAAAAGAAGGAGAAATATTTGTATAACATTGCTTTAACATCTGTTTTTTTATGGGGTGCCTCACCGAGTATAGGCTTATACTCTATCTTCATAATTTACGCATTTTTCAAATGAATGCAAGGTTTGGCGGTTAACAGCTGTGGCCACACCGGTAGCAGCAGTTAGCAGCTGTTAATTGCACACATGTTAGCAGTTAACACCCCCAGCGAATTCGATGCTGTTAATTTAACATGATCGCTATTTTTAGCTCCTGCTGCTGCTGTGCATGTAAATTAAGCGCAACAGCTGTTGCTTGCGTGTCTGCACGACAACAGCAGCAGCGGCAACAACAAACTGTAATAATAATATGCACACATAATGCACAGGTATTAGTGCATATAAATATATACACTTGTCAACGCGTGCCAAATAACAAATATGCAGCTTCATTCAAAATTGTATGCATGCAACAAAAGTGCAGGAGCCGTCGCTTTTGTGGCTTTTGCTGTTGGCAAACACAAATTCCAGAGCAGCAACAACAACAACAATAATAAACAACTGCAATAACAATAACAGCAGCAGCAACAATAACAGCAGCAGCAGCCGCCACAGCAAGTGCAGCAACATCCGCTTAGCCAAGTTTGGCAACTTCTCTCTGAAGAATGCATAAAAAGTGCGGCATATGCGACTATTAAATGCTCTACGTGTAAAATAATTTTTCAAAGGAAATAAAAATGTTTTTAAAAGAACTTTTGTTAAATAAATGCAGCTTATGTTAAACTAATATATATTTTAAATTTTTATAGAGAGAGAATCATAGAGGTACAATATTCCTTGAAAAATCGTGTCAACTTTGTGCACAGGAACATCATACCCACTATGTTCTTTACACACTCCAACAGGGTATTAAATCCACCACACAAAATATGCTGCTGCTGCGAACGACCTTAGTTATGGATGGTAATGGTATGTTGCTAAAAATAAACCAATGCAACCGACGGACATCTAAGATTTTCTATCGTTTCTTGTCTTCAACGTTCTGCTGTGGCTGCTGCTGCTGCGGCTGCCGTTACTTGTTGTTGTTGTTGCTGTTCTCTTGCTGCTGGAATGCAGTGCTGCAACTTTACACTAACACAAAGGCACAGACATTGCGCTCTTTCTTTCTGACACACACATAGGCGCGTTTTCATGTTTTGTGGCTACACATACACACACACATACACATAGGTGCGTTTTCATATGTTTTGTGGCCTGTGCATACCTTTGTGAAAATGCTTTTCATTAGACGCACAATTGAAGATTTAAGAGCTCATGTGTGTGCGTGTGTTTTTTTATATGTTGTTGTAAAACCTGTTTGAAATTCTTATGCTATTGCTGTGCGGCGACAGCATATAAATTCGACTTAAAACCAAAAGACACAAAAGCAACAGCAAAAAGCCGTATTTGACAGCTGTGAGCGCTCTCTCCCTCTCTCTCTCTGTCTCCTACTCTCCCACGCTCACGCGCTGCCGCTCTCGCTGACATGTTGCTTTTTATGCTGCTGCTGCTTCGTTCTTGTTGTATTTGTGATTATATGTACATGCATATTTTTTTTGTCGTTGTATTGATGCTTTGGACAGCGCTGTCGCTGCCGCTGCCCATTGGCTTTGGGTGTGTGCATCTGTGTGTGTGCGGCTAAACTAAAACTGAATTGAATGGAATTGTAAATTTATGAATGAATGAATGAGTTTTTGAGAGTGTGTGTGTGTGTGTGTGTGTGTAAAAGTTAATTGGTTTTGTGCCATAAATATTCAACGCGTCTCACAATTATAATTATGATGTTTTATAATGTTTTTTACTCTCTCTCTCTCCCCCCTCACAGATTACAACTGGAAGATTCAGGCGGCGAGAATACCTATCACATTGAGTACACCACCGAGCCGGCGCATCAGGTTACAACCAGCTCGCAGCGTCGCCAATCGAATATGAGCGCATCGAATACAACAAAAGATGGCGGGGGAGGCGGCGGCGGCGATGGGGGCAGCTCGCCAAGCGGCAAGCCCATATTGGATACCGAGAAGCGTATGAGACGGGAAATAGCCAACAGCAACGAGCGACGACGCATGCAGAGCATCAATGCCGGTTTTCAGAATTTACGTTCGCTCTTGCCACGACACGAGGGCGAAAAGTTGAGCAAGGTAAGTTCACAAATCACAACAAGACGTAGCCAAAAAAAAAAAAAAACAACAACAACAGTTTGAGCTGCACTGTTAACAGTGCACTAATTGGATTACATATGTGTGCATGCATGCGTGTGTGTGTGTGTGTGTGTGAATGCACATGTATTGTTTTGTTATCCATTTACGCTTCAACGCCTCGTTCAATTTCATTTACAGAAGCAACAGCAACAACCAGCTTTATCGCATGTTGACAAATTGCTGCTTGCTACATACAAATAATCGCTGTCTTTCATGCTAAAAACTTTCTCAAAAATCTCTGTGTGTGCGTGTGTGTTGTGCCTTTTGTGTGCACGCCAGCGGCGACGTCAGCAGCGCAGCGCAGCGCACCGTCACTTGACACATGAAGGTCCCTTTTCAAGTCTCGTTGATATGGCAACCCTTTTGTTGTTGTTGTTGCGGCTGCTACCGTTTTAGGCTATCTTTTTTTTTTGCATACCCACGCACTTGTTGTGTATGTATTTATGTTATTTTTTTTCACCTTGAGACAAACATCGATTTGTTGTGGCGGCTGTGGCGACATCTTGTGTGAGTTGTGTGTGTGTTTGTGAGTGGGGGGGGGGGGGGGGCGTGTTTGCCTTGGCAGCAGACGGCTGTAAATCAACAACATGTCATATTAAATGGCAAAAGATTTATTTGATGCGCATACTTTCTTTAAGTTTGAATTTATGACTCTGCTGCTAGACAACATTCTCTTTCAACGATTTGCGAGTGCTCGAAATTAGCGTATTTTGCAACACTGTCAGCCAGATTTTCAGTTCTGTTTTTGTGCCTTTATTTATTGCAAATTGAAAAATGTCAAACAAAACTCGCAAACATAAATCAAAGTCCGAAACAAAAAGTGCAGCAAAAAACAGAAAAAGTCCTAAAAAGCGCACAGCATAAACAACAACATGACAGCTCATGTGTCAATAGAAGGAGTTAAAGAGTTAAGTTGCGGGGGAGGGGTGGGGAACAATGTAAACAGGAAGAAAATCGCGTAAATATCACGTTACTTGACGACACGCGCAAAAAAAGGGCTAAAGCAGCGACGTCAGCAGAGAAGTCAGCAGTGGCGTTGACTGCGCTGCGCAGCGCTGTGCCTTGATGAATGACATAATGGGCGTATAACAGTCGTGACGTGTGCCAGAAAGAGAAGGAAAGATAAAGGAAGGGGGTTGTGGATGTGGGTGGGTGGCTTAGCGTGTGCCCAGCTGCAAGTAGTTTATGGATTTTTTTACGCTCTGCTATTGCTCCTCCTGCGTCCTCTTCTTCTATGCAACGCTAGCATTTATAGCACATAGTAAACATTGTAGTATGTCGTAGTTTTGTCTGCAAGCGAGACAGCAATAGCCTTGCACTACTGCGCTTCAGCTTGACCAACTTGGAGATGGGTGTGTATGTTGAAAGGGGGGAGGGGGGTGGGGCATGGGTTTGTCAGGCTGAGACTAGGCCTAAAACGAAAACAAACTGACGACGACGACGACGAATGGAATCGGAATCAGGTCGCACGACGAATGCAGCTCACACACACACGCATGCAGAGCTTTTAGTTGACACAAAAGTGCGAAAAAAATTGCAATACTGCAGAAAGTAGCGACGGCGACGACAGCCGCTGCGCCATTGACAGTTATGCACACACATACAAACATACACACTCACTCTTGTACATATACATACATATAACAGCTCTATGTAAATAACAGTTATGTAGACATACATATGTGCAGACGCGAGTGGGCGACTGTGCCAAGTAGTCTGTGATTTACTCGCTCGTTGAGGCGGGTCATTGAACTTGCTCGCTAGGTGGCGCCAAAGTGCAAAGTGCAGCGCAATTGCGTACAGTTTGCCCGCTGCTGCTGCCCGTTTTGCAGCTGAACTAACCTACATTAAAGTGTTGCACGATTTGAAGCTGTACTTGGAATTGCCCCATACCAGCCAGCCCCTAAACCACCCACCCACCCATTGTAAAACAGACGCACAACTGGAATTCTTCTTTTTTGTTATTTTTTGTTCGCTGTGCGCGCCTCTCTTTATACTACAGTTTGCGTAGTAGCTCCAAAAATATCGATCCAGCTTCGCGTAGCTTTCCAGTGCGCGCCAAAAGCGCCAACAACCCCCGAGTTGGCAGCATTCCCCAACTCGAAACAGAAGCGAAGTCACCGAATGGCAGCACTGGATGATAATGACAGGCTAGGTACAGTCAAGATTGCTTAGAGTGAACTTGAAACAAGCAAATAAAGCGAGGAAGCAGCTGATTTTATTACAGTTATAATTTTTGAATAATTGTGGTGTTTTTTAACACTAACAAAAATTAATCTTTGATAAAATCAATGAAAATTGTCTATTGATTCTCAAATTTACTACTAAAAATGCACTTCAGAACTTCCCCTATAACCAGGGCTCACTGTATTCGGCGCACAGACCCTAAACATTGCGTGAGGCTAGGGCCCGGCCCAATTATCCTGGCGCTTTGCCACCCCCACACCGCTGGCACAGCTGAGAGCAACGCTCGCACATGGTCGTAGTTCCGAGTGAGCAGCCTATGGGCAGCAGGCGGGAGGGGTGGGAGTTGGGGGTGGGCTGATTTGGCCTGTTTCATTGCCATTTTGTTGCCGAAATGAAACAGCGGCGCCTGCCTGGCGCCTGGTAGGCAGCTGTTTGCTCGATGACGATTATTTGTGACTGGAAAGCGGCAGGCAGGACCATTTAGGCGAAGGGGGTTAACTGGATGACACCACACACCTCCCCCTCCCCCCTACCCCCTTAAAACTCTTAGCAAGAAATTGGGCGTTCAGCTTTTTGTTGCCGCAGCTGCGCATTGGACGTCGCGTCTGTCTCTGTTGCTGTTGTCGCTTCGTCTGCAGCTCGTTTGCGGCCAAAAAGGCGTGGCAGGTGGGCGACAATTGTCAGCAGGTGGTGAGGGTGGGTGGGGGTGGGGGTGTAAACAGTGCACTAGGCCATTGGCATCGGGCAACCTTTGCTTTGGCGCGGAATTGCAGCCCAGCAGCAGCAGCTGTCCGGGATGCGCCAACACCCAAACGGTACATATAGAGATAAATACATACACATCTAGATATGTATACATAAGAGCCGTTATGTCAGCTATGTACCGTTATATACGTGCGAGGTATATGGCGCATTATAACTGTAGCTAGCTGCATTTCGTAGTAAAAAGGCTCGCCATCTCGCTCTCTCTCTCTCTCTCTCTCGACTGTCACTGCCTGTCTTTCTGTCTGTCTCGCTCTGGCAACCACCACGCACTGCCCCCTACCCCGGCCCACAGTATATTCTATGCGTGCTACAAATGTGCGGCATTATCTTTGGCCACAAAATGCAATTAATGCAGCTGCGTCGGTAATTTGAAATTATTTTATGCCCCAACCTCGGGGTTAATTAAAAACAAGCGCCGGATACATATGTATACCCTTGCTACAGATGTGCAATATATTCCTAACCTCTTTTAATGTGCTTCAGACAATAGCTTAATTTCGGGCCAATTATTTCTATGGGTGCGATTTGGTAGCCGGATGATGATGAGATTCGTAAATGCTCGCATATTTTGCAACACTGAACAGCATTTTTATTCGCAGCTCAATATTTGCCAGATTATTGCTTGTACAGTGAAAACTCGCTTGGGTGGACAGCTTATTGTTGTCCGTCTAAAGAAGGGTATTTGGGTGTGACCTGATTAATAATTGTTTAAGAGAAAATGTCCGCCTACGAGGGGTGTTTACTGTACCAACTCGACCTGTTCATTTGGGATCTATGACAATATCATAATACATATGTACATATATGTAAATGTCTGCGCGCTCCACTTAAATGCTTTATATGTGTTGGCTTTTGTGGCTGGTGTTGGAAAACGATTATGCACAGGGTTGGCAAAAAAAAAACCGATTACTTATCGAGAGCAGCGAGTGCGGCACTTTCGCAAGAAAGAATGTAATAGCGGAAAGCAAAGAGCGCACAGCGCAGAGAAAGCTGCAAGGCAACAAAAACAACTAACAGCAACAACAGCAACAACAACAGCAACAATAACGGCGGCCTAGCAAAGCATAAGTGCAATGGATCAATTACTTTGTGGGTTTTCTTCACACACAGACACACACATACACTCACAGACAGACAGCAGGCAGACAAGTGTAACTGTGTGTGTGTGTATGTGTGTGCAAAAATGTCGGTCGGTCGTTGGCAGCGCTGTCTGTCGCCTGGCGGCGCTTAAAGATCGTCGCCGTTGTCAATTGCAGCCTTTCAAGCTGAGCTTTCGGCTAGTTTTTTTTTTTTTTTTTGCTGTGTTGATTACATGGAATGCCGTCTCGCCGGATTTAATGACTGTATGTTGCGTTGTAACGGTGCTTGTTTGCTTGCTTGCTTGCTATTTTTTTTTTTATCAATGGCAGCGACTGCAACTGCAAAGTGCAGCGAAAAAGTCATTAACAGCGCCAAATGGGAAAGGCGGTCTATGAATTCCATGGCTCATCTGTATGTTAGTTCCGTTCCGTTTTCGCCTGCAGATTTAAACAACTGTAAACTGCGGCGAAATCAATGAATCAGCAACAGCTGATTTCGCTAGAATAAACCAATGTGCTACACACGTCAGTGCTGAGAGAAAAAAAAGAAGTAAATTCTATTTTAATAAATTACATTGTTTAAATATTGAATTTTATTTTGTTTAAAAGTAAACATTATATATTATAACTATTTTTTAAAAAATAAGCCAAAAACAAGGCACCCGCTGCTTTACAAATTTTTCCGCTAACATAAAAAGCCAAAATTGTCAAGGAAAAAAGCGAAAATAACTGCACTGACACGCACACAAACACACTCACACAAACATGCACACAACCACAACAATGAGAAATGCAAAGAAACAACAAGAGAAATATTTTACAAGTATTGTTATTTTGGTTGATTTAATACCAAAAGTCAACCGGCATTTTTGCTGCGCAATTTACACAGCGGCAGCGACGTCGACAGCG